GAACGCTTTTCATTCCACTAATTTATTCATGTTTTTCTCGTTGCCATGCACCCACCAATAACGTAGCTCCATTTTCTGCCTTTAAAAGCACACACAACCCACAATTCCTCTATTCGCTCCGACGAAGGGCTAACGCTCGAAACGTCAGCTTTTGTAATCGTTACGATGGCCAATTTACCACTTCAACTTTGTTGATATATCCAAATTGTAACGATAAGCAGTCTGAGTCTCAAATGATGACTTATTCTTCAGTAGACAACAGTGAACTACCGCTGGGTAGTCACTTAAACAAACGACTCCCTTAGAAACCACCAAACATAAGAAAGCAATGACCAACTCGAATGTGTGATACTCTTTTATTTCTCTTTTCTGACCCTATTCTGGTTTTATTCAGTGATCTTTCACACAATCGCCCTTTTGAACCAGCCTCGCGTCATACCAATATCGTTAATTAGCCTTGTACCTGCTAGCGTGTTCTGGACAACGTTCTTTTCATTTTTGCCTTAAAATTATATAACACCGGAACTAAGTTATGAATCAGTCTAGTGGATCTAATGCACTGAAAGTGTTTCGTAACTAAATTCCCCAAGAACCCGGTTACAATTTCTTAGATTGACTAATTATAATCTGCAATATGTTTGCGGGGAGTGTTTTTAAATAACACGAAAGACACTTTTGTTTTCTTATACTTTTTAGACATTCGATGATTTTATCATGACAATTTAACCCTCCCAACAGTTTACTGATATTTCGAACATAATTGATAGTAGCCACAGTTCTTCGCTTCAGGTAGGCTACTTTCCCGCAGCGGGTTGGCTTATCAACTGGCCGATTGCGGAGCATTAAATAAACCAGAAAAAAGGCTTATTACTTCGCTTCACTTTTGAGTTTCTTTTCCGATGACTGGGTTTTGCTTGTAGTTGTTTTGCGCCTTTCATTTGTATTTAAAAATACAAACCCTAGCTCTTTTAGCGTGCTTCTAAACGTTGACATTCGTCGGTTTGCGCGAAGAAAGAAATACTTTTTACAGCCCGCGCCTCCTGTAACAAAGTTTCCCTTCCGTACCCCCCGTAAAATTGTCGTTGTTCTGAGCCACATTTCCCTTTCTCCACCATGAGAATTGTGATATTGTCAACATCTGGTAGTCAACAAATATTTTGAATCTCCCGCTCGTAAATTGGCTAAGCATCGGTTCATTCAAACCGTTGTTCTAGAAACAATAGAGCCTCTAAACTGCAAACAATTAAAATGTCCATGAAAGGAAGGTAACCCAATGTCATTGTCCACCAAAAATTAAACACAAAGCCTGATATGCATGTAAAAGTCACAAAACAATGCAAATCCACCTTCAGGACGAACGCCTTTTTCCTCGCTGAGGGTAACTATCGATTAATCGCGCGGACTCGTCCTCGCGAAGATGAACCGACGGGTCAGCGGTATCGTTTAAAACGGGTGACCGGATCTAAGAGTGTGAGCTAAAATTGCAAAAACCGGAAATAAAGCTTGCTAAGTTGATCAGCTATTATCTCGAAAATTAGCACGGTGACCTACGCGTTTGTGAAGAGAATTGAAAAAATAATTATCTGATGAAAATTTTTTTTAGACTGGTAACAGCATTTCCCTAAATGACTCAAGTTCTACTGACAGCTTCTTTATCATAGCACGTGTACAGATAGAGAATGTGATAATGTTTAAGAAATTTGGAAAAAAAAAATAAAAAACTAGGCCACCGACTTGGTTTTTTAGATATCTCTCAAAAACAGAGTTTTAGAGTGTCTATTAGCACCGCTGTTCTGTTGCCATGGCAATAGATAAAGACTGATAGTTTCTAAAGAATCTGTTTGGGGCTGCGTCGGTGGGGGTAACGAAATAATTTCAATATATCAACAAAGTTGAAATGGTAAATTGGCCACCGTTATGATTATAAAAGCTGACGTTTCGAGCGTTAGCCCTTCCTCGGAGCGAATAGAGGAATTGTGGGTTGTGTGTGCTTTTAAAGGCAGAAAATGGAGCTACGTGATTGGTGGGAACATGGCAACGAGAAAAACATAAATAAATTAGTGGAATGAAAAGCGTTCGTTGATACCTGTGTGATTTAGACTGCCGGTTTGAAAGATGAGCTTTTGTTCAAGAGTTTTACGGCTTTCCGTGCTACCTAAGTGTAAGGAAAGACCGCAGATTGTCATATGTTGCTTAGAATGATTAGGNTGATAGTGCTTGTCTCTGGATCGTTTTGAAGTAATTTAAAGCTTTTAAGAATGATGGATTTAACTGAGTGGTTGTGAGGTGTCAAAACATTACCTTGATGATAAGTGTCAAAACATTGCCTTGATGATAAGTTTGACAGTCCTGATATCTTTTGTTATTTGGCACTTGCCGTTACTTGTGGGAAAACCCTTTCGAGCCTCCTCAAGTCGAGTCATAGTTTTCGACAAAATGCTGAGGACACCTTTCCATCATTACCTTTCCATTCTCCTCTATTAACATTTTAGTTTTATCTGCGTATGTGGAAATACCACTTTTTAAATGTACCGAATTTGTAATTGATTTGGGGAATTTAAGGAACTTTACTTATTCCTTTATTTTCTATTGGAATAAGTTTAACAACTGTCAGTTTTATGCAGGCGTCCTATGAATTATTTTTCCTACGGCTGAAAGTGGACGTTTATCCGGGTTCGATAAACGTTACATCGTGTCATGGTTGAAAATGTATAAATCAGCAGAGAAGGTTAATGTTTCTATTTTCATGTGCAATTTTTTCAACAAACTTGACGACTTGTTGGATATGATATAGTAGATCCATAACTGAATTACCTTAGGTCGTCAGTTAGTACATGTATGGATTAACAACAAATGGCCGCGACAGATTTGAGTCAACCCTGAAAGTAATCTTTTAACTCCAATGAGTAACTATCAAGCAATTTTGCTTTACCCCGTTGTTGAGAGGGAATGTTATGAGAGGAAGGAAAAGATCAACAGGGGATATTGTTAGATCTGAACTCTAAATTCTCAGAATCGCAATTGTAAGAATGCCATGGCAAATGAGAAAAAGAGAATGGATACTGAAAAAAGGTTGACGGTTACAAAGGCACACAACTAGTTATACTTCAGTTCCGTCGGAAAATTATTTTATCCATATTGCCTCCTGCTGGAGAACTGCCTCGAAATAAAAGCAAACAAAAAGGCCCAAAGCAACCCCTTCACCCATCAAGAAAACATTTTCAAAACCAAGTATCGTTTTCGCGTACCTGGACATCCAAAGAGCTCTATCCTCATGGAGATATGTTTGTTCCACTTTGTTGGCATTATGCGCACATACAGTGCTTTGAGTGGCGGACGAAGTGTATTATACACAACCTCGTCACGGTCTCGGTTTCCCCTTAACTCCTAAAATGATCACAAACGTCACATTTAATTAAGAGTTGAATAGAGGTCTGAATACCATGGAAGTTTTCCAATACGGAAGTTTGTTAATGTGATTGTGATACGTTACTCTACTTTTTGTTTGTTTGTTTTGCCAGCTTTACTTTCAGAATTACGCTTAAAATAACAGGTAATCATGAATAACTAAAGTAATAATGCAACAACGTGGTTAGTCAACACAGTGCTTTTGTGTTTTCCTAACCGTGGTTATGTCCTATTCAAACTGAGGTGCAAGCATTAGAGTTACCGTATTCGCAGATGTATATTTTAATTTATGTTATGAATATGTCCATTAGAAGTTAGCTTAGTTGATAAAACGAGGAAAAACGATACCGTGACCGCAGTGTCTCCAGTTTTTTGGTAGAACTTGTAAGTCACTCCATTATCACTGTACTGTAACTTGTATCTGGTCACCCACTCATCAACTCCGTTCATCCCCTGAGTCGCCACTTGTGTCACTCGAGTGTGACTACCAAAATCCACCTGAAGCCATTGGTCAGTATCATTTGTAAGAGCCGACCATCCTCCGGCTTTGTTTCCCCCGGCCTGAAAATGCAGCCTGCCTTGTTTTGCGGAGTGGTTTCCATCCAGCTGCGAGGAAGCGGTGATTTGCGCGTCAGATATTGAGCTATTTTCCATGCCAAGAGGGAATGCGCATTCTGCAATGAATGTTTGATACTCTTCTATCAGTTATTAGACTTTTATAGGTAAGATCAAGCACAAAAAAAAAACAAATGCTATTCACGTTTTGATACTTAAAAAAAATACGTCATCATGAAGATTCTCATGATCGCGTCACGCGATCATCGTTTCAATTGCTTGCAGTTTGGTTACGAAAAAATTATAAAGCATCCTTAAATTGAACGAACTTGCCTTTCGTGAGGAAAAAGGCCTTTTCAATTCATTTTTTTAGTCGTCAAGTCTTTGGTTATTACACTAGAAATGACATTTGTAGATGCTAAAAGGTATGTCTAATAACTGATGGGAGAGTATGGCTTTAGCCTTAACTTGGAGATTTGTCCGTACTCTTATCGACAACGGCAAATTAGCCAGTCAGATTGCGACATTACTGCCAATTGTGGTAAGACAATATTTAGACAATACCTAGACAACCATATATTTCGGCTCGCATTCCGACTCTATAACTGTTCCAGCGTAAAGGTTTGAATCGAATGTAACGAGCCGTGATTGATTCCTTCAGCTTTTTAGAAACAATTGACTGGTAGTCTAGATTCCCATTAAACACCTGTGAAATGAAACATAATATAGCTATAGATTCACTTATTATCGAATTTTGACATATCTTAAGATCACTGACACTTAGGAGTGGTATAGGAAGAGCAGAAGACTGCGGGACGACTGTGTAATCAAGTAAATGTTTCAACATAGCATGCAGCCAAAGGTGATAATATAGTAACTACTCTCACGAAACCCACCTTGGACTGAAATGAGCATGCAAAGGTGAGCCATGAGCATTTCAGTTACTTTATGTGTATACCTTTGGTAAAGTTTCTCCAGGTTCCTTGTAAAAATGAAAGGCTTTTCCATCATTGCTGTATTGTAAATTGTAACTAACTGTCCAATATTTTTGCCAGCTGTATTTCCCTTTCACTCCCTGAGTTGCGACACTTGTCACAGTTGAGAAAGTTCCAAGATCGACCGTAAGCCATGCTTCATAATCAGCTCTACCAGCCAACCAGCCACCCAGTTTTAACCGTGCAAATTTTGCGGAATAGTCATCATTGAATTGGGTGGAGGCAGTGATTTGAGTATCGGAGATAACTTGACTTTCCATGCCAAGTGGTGAGGAACAACCTGAATGGGTTTGATCAGCAAGGAAACAAAAAGAAATGGTGCTTTACTGCCGCTTTCAAAACGACAATTCTTTACTCTAATCTGTCATGATCTCTATGATAAGCTTAATTGTACGCGCATTTTGATTGGCTCTCTCTCTATTGTTGGAGGGCAGACTCGTAGATAATGTCACTAGTGACAA